GAGGCAGACATCAGATTTTTGCAGAGCGATTTGATTATTAGAAGACACCATAATTCTTGGAGTCGTATGTTTATGTTTCTTTTTATTTTGAAGCTCTTAATCACTACCTTTCTGAGGAACCGCTCCAAGTTGTACATGCAGGATGGTTTGGTGTCTGAGTCTTTGGCTTCAAAGTACATTTCAGTGATCTAGCAATGGGTTTCTGTCTTGCCAGCTACAATTTCCTGTTCAGCTACTTTCATCTGGGTCAATCTACTGACCCACTGGCTTCAAAGTTACATTTCAGTGATCTAGCCATGGGTTTCTGTCTTGCCAGCTACAAGTTCCTATTCGGCTACTTTCATCTGGGTCAATCTACTGACCCAGAAAACCACATGGCTACATGCAGACACCCCAACACCACCACAATGAAGTAGATGGTACAGTCAGCCAAGGCAAGAGGGGAGGGGCTCCCTTGCGCTGGCATCCTGGGCTAACTGCAATCTCAGGGAACACTTCCATGTTCAGCACACTGATAAAATATCTTAGTGATATCCACAGGGGAGGTCTCACACATCTGCCCCCCTCCCTGATCCTACTTTTCTCTTCCACATGGTCCTGCCCACAGCACCCTGCACCAGCTCCGGCATTCATTTTACTCATTACTATTCAAAGGAAGGAAACTATTCCTCCCAAATAGGCTTGGCCAGGATGGAGACAGAAGATGGAAGCACAGCTCCCACCTGTGACCAGTGGGTGACCTCCTATGTCTAGTTACTGTGCTTCAAGCAGCTGCACCCTCAGCTTTCTGGTACCCCAGCTCCTTATTATTCAGAAATAGCAGTAAGTCATGTTTCACTTCAGAGGAAATCACACTGAAGAAATAAAAATTTGAAACAATCTGACTTCTCTTTAAGCAAGCCGTCGCAGTTCAGGCCCAAGAACCACGTGAGTTAGAGACATTTCTCCTGAAATATCAGGGAGATAACTGCGTGCATCTCCCTGGAGACCAAGACACTCAGGCATGATGGTAAATCCTTTAACCACTTGGGACAGTTATTAACCTCAGACTGGCCACCCAAACAGCAGTCTCTTGAGAGGCCATACAATATTAACTTTTTTCTAAAGCATAGGGATCAACAATTGAGGCTAGGAACTAGTGAATGACCGGACAGCTCACTCTGCTGCTGTCCAGGCAGCACTAGTTTTGTGGCACAAAGGATTTGTTCAATGTCTTGAGATTTCCACCTCTCACACAGAGATTAACTTTTGCTTCCTTTTTGGGGTTGGCTGGTTTCTTCTTTTACCATGCTCATGCAAGAAAAGAAGCCAAATTTGACTTTTAAGAGGACTTCATTTATAGTCCAAACCTCTCCAGGAAGCAGCAGTGTGGCTACATTACTCGCAGGAGACCAATGCGACTTTCTACTCACAGTAAGGCCGTATCGGGGGATGCTGAAGTACTTGAGCCAGTTCAGCCAGCCCATTACAGAAGGGAGGTTGACTAAGAGACCCGAAAAGATCTGGAACAGAACAGAAGAGACTAATGAGTCACAAATTCTGTTTACTGCAAACAATGCCATTCCTGCACAGCTATTGCAGTTGCCCAGCAGAGGTGCACTGGGATAGCAGGACCTCCTACTGCTGTTACGCCTGTGCCTTCAGGCATGAGGTTCAAACCTTGCAGCAGTCCCAGCCAGCTGGCCCAACAGCACACCCAAATACTCCAGTTAACTGCTTGCAAACAGATCAGAAAGATTTTCTACATCCATACGTGAACTAAGAAGCAAGCATACTAACAACTTCTTACTCTGGAGGGTTGTGTTCTATGGTAGAGCTAGCCAGAGGCTAAAGAAGGATGACTGGGAGATGAGGAAGTGGAGAAACAAGAAGGAAGCCATGGGGAGCCTTAAGGGCTGTTACTGTTTCAGCTTCCTCCTCTGACCTACATCTTTTATCCGTGCTCTGTCCTGCCTGGAACAAGGTTTGCTCTTTTACTTCTTGGCACAATTGGACTTCACAGTGAAACACAATGCTTCAGGCTGTGCTTCATGACAAGCGTTTTTGTGCTTACCTTGCTGTCTTTCAGGATGTGCACGTCCCATTCCTTATATACGGTGACTTAATGTACATCAGCTGCCCTTCACTACGCATGCACGCTTATCACCCACAGCCAGCATTTGAAGTGATACACTATGACTTTGCTTATTGCAAAAGCAGGTTAAGTTGCAAATTGAAGAATAAGGGATGTGCTGTGGGCTCAGAATGTGTATGCAGACAGCTACCAGGAATCACCTGACAGCAGGTACTTTTTACTCTAAGGTAACTTGATAGGTTTCACAGTCAGGAAGTTTCATCACTAACATTATCTCTTTGAAAAAGAAGTCACATCCCTCATCTATGAGAAGTCAAAACTCCTTTCTCTCTCATTTGCTCTCTTCCTTAGAAGTCCTTGAAGAAGAATATTGAAATAATTTCTGAAACCCAAGGGCAATACTGATTTAAAATAAAGAAGGAGTATGCTCCTACAAAGCCCACTAAGCAACAAAATCAATAAATATAAAGTTTATGTCAACATTTTCTTCCTTTTAAATTATCTAGTTGATCACTTAGATTTCTAATACTGGAAATGAAAGATTTTGTTTTTTTAAATCAATGTTCGTAAGGACACACTGTTTGCAAAGCTCTGGTGGCATCACACCTATTAAGCTGCACCTAAGCAATGATTTAACTCTTAGATTACAAGTTAGCAGAAGTACATCTTTTACTATAGTGACAATAAAATCACAGGCATGGGGCTAACATGCTACTGGACTGTGGATGCTCAGCCTGATTAAGGCTGGCTCAACCCAGCCCTTGCAGCCATCTCAGCGGCTTCCTCATCTTCACCAAAGGAGCACACACACCCTTATATACTTACGAGCATTAGGACAAAACAAATAGTGATAAGCAGATTGGCCACAGCCACCACATCCATCCCAGCACTGATAGCCAGAGACATGGCTGTGGCAGTGTAGGATACCAGTACCAGGGTCAGCATGAAGAAGAAGAACCGGCCTGCAACGGCTTGGTATCCTGTCAAAAACCAGAAAGGAAATACTTCAGTAAGCCACTGTATTATGAATCCCAGAGAGATACCCTTTGATTCCTATACAAAACAGGGAAAGCAGGAAGAAAGACCAGGTTTGGAGTTGGCAAGAACTATGCATGCTCCAAAGGCCCAAAGAGCATTACTGAAAAGAAGAGATCAAGCAGGTCCCTGTCTTAGATTGCTGGTGTCTCTGCCCCTGCCCCAGAGTCCTCTGAAGTTAGGATGTCAAACACTTAAATCCGTTGAAGGTTCAACTAGTTTCATGTTATGTAGGAATTAAACACTAAGTCAGAAGTCAAATGTGTTGGAAGATGACAGGTTCAACGAAAGCATCAATTCTTTACCAATCATCCAGTAACTGATGCATGAGAATATGATGGCTGGAGCAGTTCTCATGGGCAGTAGATCTCCTATCATCAAGGCCAGGAAGTAGGCAGACACACGGTAATATCCACTGGTGTACTGATGGCTGTGAGGACAGGAAGGAGGGGAGTTGTACAGGTTTAGAGGTTATCTAGGAAGCAGGCTCAGCATGCGTGTCTGGTTTATCCTGACTCAGTTTCTGTTCACTCTGCCACTGACTCATCCTCTATGTGCAAGTTGCTAATTTTCTCAGAGCTGTCACTTCCCACTCTGTAAAGTAAGGGCTGATCTATCTCACAGGCCCTGCAGTCACACTGAGAGCCCTCCAAGGAAAGTGAATGAAATGACTTCTAACTAACATATTGGAAAAAAGCTCCTAAATCTCTTTTCAAAGAGAATAACCCTTAACACAAAAACATGGGAAAGTATTAGACTGCTATTAACTGGAGGAACACTTCATCCACAGCTAACTCATACAGCTGCTTCCAGGGGAGAACGAATGATACTCAACAACGGGAAAACACCTTTAGGACATCAACTTACCTCCAGTTCACAGGCCAATTAAATGTTATTATGATTGTTTTGCTACTTAATGGAGCTCATGAAAAAATGCTTGAATTGGTGAGATGCCAAAATCCCCATTGACACAGCTGTTAAGATAAGCTGGGAAGCGGAGCAGACTGGCAAAAAAATGATAGTGTGGGGGAGATTCTCTCCTGAGCAGCTGTTAGGGGCAATATTAAGCTGCTCTGAGCAACCGGTGGGTGGACATTTGCATTCCAGGCACAAATCTCCAGTTTATTCTTTACTGAACAGGATCTGTCTCTTGCCCTTTCATCCCATGAGCTGGAGGCTATTCCAAACATTTTCAACATACATGTATATATGCATGTGTGTATATAATATATATACAGATTTACATACATATACACACATACAAACGCGCATATATATATAGACAGAGACATGTGCTTGATTATTAGGGAGCTCTTGTAAGCCATCCAGCAGCCTTCTTCATCTAAGCAACCTTTCCAAAGCTTTTTCAAGAACTTTCCCTTTATCTTTGCACAGTCTTACCCCTTGAGGACCATTGCAAGACAGTGTTTCACCTGTCAGCAAGAGAGTAGGCAGGGTTCACAGACTGCAGGATTCAAATGCAAACTTCAAAAACAGCTGTTACCAAAAGTGGGTAGGAAAAGCCCTTCTCAATAAACTGTGACACAGCAAGCAAGAAAAGCATTTTATTTCTCTCCTCCTTTCCCCAGCTCTTAGCATTTCAGCTACAGACCAATTTAGCATTACTATTACAATCTGGTGTTGCAAGGGAGCAATCAAGTCTTTGGTAAAAATAATTTTGTTTATCCTGTAAGATAATCCTCCCTGCCTCACTCCAGGGTATGGGACAGTCTAAGTGCCTCACTACTTACACAAATAGTTTCTTGTCTCTGATGAACAGTTCAATTGCAGAGACACTGGAAAAACACTGGTTTGTGGTGACAAAAAACAAGGATCCAACCCTAGAAGGCAAAAAAAAACCAGTCAAAAAAATGAGGAAACAGCCTAGATCAACACTGGCAGCCTCAGACATCATCATACCATCAAGTCAGTGCATTTCTGTCTCTGTCCACAGAATGGGAGATATTTAATTGTGCTCCTGTAGACCTTAGCCATAAAACCAGGTTTATTTCTTTATCTTCCCTTTCACATCTCCTTTGTACATATGTGTGAGCCCAACAAAACTGCTGTCCCTTTAGGACCTCTGGCAATACCATGCTACACTGCATTGATCCTTGTGAACCCAACCCACCCTTGTGGTCCAAGTGGATCCCAAGGCCTTCCCTGTGGCTGAAACCTGTCTGCTACAGACAGAAAAGTGAGCAAGGCTGTGGCTTTCCAACTTACCGATTCTGAATGCCACTTCGATCCAATTTTACACCGAAAAAGATAGCACCCACAACCAAGGCTAGAATTATGGTCACCGCAATCTAGAAGTGGAAGAAAGGGAAAAGGGAGTCCTTCAAGTAAGTAAATAGGGACAAACTTATTATTAAGGCATACGCAGGGCTTAAAATTCACACCTGCCTAAAACTTTGCTGTTGTGAGTCGATGTATACCTATGACACACACAATTAAAAGCCTTATGGCAAATTTTCCAAGTTTATCCTCTTCACTTTTCTCTTTCCTCTGATCTTCTTTGGCTGGGAAAGATTAGTAGAAGCACATTTAAAAGAATAACCCACCTTAAAATTTGAAGTGAGGCACAAAGATTAACATCACCCTAGAAGATCCCCATGAAAACCAGAGAAGGGAGCATTTCTCCCCTATCTTCAGTACAGTAGTTCTTGGGCTAAACTAAACGGAGATTTCTTTCAAAGGCAACTAAGGTAGCTGGGCATTTCACTCCACTTAAGTGGCAGTGGCACAGGGCTTTTCTGTTTCCCTAGCTGCCTTTGAAAACAGAAGTCTGTCCTGCAAACTGCAGATTGCAGGACTGAGAGCAGAGGGAGCATGAGACTTTAGCAACTGTTACCTACTTGTGCAATGGAGGCCTGTGGGTTTCTGATGAGGTTTTTCAAGGAACGCTTAGACACCCAGTACAGCTGGGTGAGGAATCCATTTGCATAGGTAATCTCATGCCCCTGCTTGGATATTCTCTGCTCACTTCTCCGTCCACGCTCCACTTTTGACAGTGCTTCCTTTGTGCTCTGATACAGGCTGGAGTTGAGATATTTCTGGTGCAGCACATCTACCACACTGCTGTCCATGTTATCTTCTGCCACTCCATTTTCACTCTTCACCTCTGAGTGAGAAAGACAAAATATGGCTTGTGATTCCCCATGAACCCTATCTTCAGACATGGTCCATCAACATAGTCACCCACTCTGGAGGCTGAATAAAAAAAGTAGAGAATTTGAATAGTTCAAGCCTTAGCTCGGAGCTTAAGAAGCTAGCTTGGGTAAGAGGGTTTC